GGGGGGGGGTGTCTGTGTCTTGTGTCTCTGTGTGTGTGCACGCATGCATGCGCGCGTGTGTGTGTATGCACGTGTGTACGAGAAAAAATTGAGAATAAAAATGGGGACAGAGACACCTAGAGGAAAATTCCCCGTTGCCTGGCTGGCTTTGGACAATTCGTTCCTTGAAGAAGAAATGGGGAGGAGGGTGCGAAACACAAAAGAAAATTACAAACCCAGTCCTAGGATTTTAAATTAAAACCAGTCCAAGGAGCTGTATTTCTTTAAAACCATATTTCAGTCTTTCCTCTTTTCTGTTCGGCTTTGGCTCGGTGGCTGCCTTTGTAAATAAACACGCCGGTAATAGATGCTGTAGAGCGTGTCTGCTGGCTCGGCTGCGAACACTTGACTTATTAGTGCAATACAATGGGAGGTTTTTATAAAACCCCAGTGCTCTCAGGATCTTTTAAAAAATAATGTTTTCATTTAACAGCTTTGGGCTGTAATCTTAACCTTTTTCCTCTCTGCCTCTGACTAGCACCTATATGCTGACACTCCCTCCTTGGTTGCTCCATTTGGAGATTGGGTTTAGCAAAGCAATGAAAAAGAGAAGTAAATAAAATTGCTGGTGATCCTGTCAGTCTGACTGATTCTCCTAATCTGGACTGGAGATCTCGCGGAAATAGCCTTTCTCGTGCTATCTTAGTATCTCCTCGTCCAGCTGAAACTCAAAGCACAAAAACAGATTATATGATGCAACAAATTTCATCTGCAGCATTCAGGCTTGGAGTGCATTCCTCCTGCTTTCTCAGGAGTCTCGCATTCCCTGCTTAGCACTGCCTCTGCTTGGAAAAATCATTGTTCAAGTCACCACAAGCTCTTTTCATTGCTTTTGGTCATGAATCATAATTTGGGGTCAGATTCAAAATCAGAAAGGGATAGATTTTTAGATGGATTTCTTTTTTTTTTTTCCCCTAAATACTATTCCCTGCAGGTAGCTCTTAAAAGCTGACGGCACAGCGAGTGTCAAGGACAGACTCTCTCCCCATAGTGCTGTCTGGGGGTGTTTAGGCAATATCTGGCTGGCTGGGAGCCCCTTTGGGCTCTCTTTAGTGTGAAAGGGAGGGAACAGCATGCTCCAGGCTTTGTCTTTTAGCCAGCTAGTTTCTAACATTTCCTGCAATGGTGGCGATTTGGAGACAGTCCCGGTTGTGATGGCTATTTGATCGGCAGCCTGTCCCCTGGCATCCGCATCAGACCTGACCCGTTGCCCCGAACAACAGCAAAACCACACCAGTATGGAGCGAACGCAGCCCTCCAGCCTCAGGCATGGTCTGCTAAGGACAATACCCTGCTGAGAGTTGGTCTGTAACAGGGTGTCTTTTGGGTCACACAGGACCTTTGAAA